AGAGGTTGGCATTTAGCAGGTTCTGACCAGTTCTGGAGAACTGGTAGTGGAAATTTTGAGTAGTTCGAAAAACTGGAAAATACCACCTCTGACTGACCCCGCCCCCATCTATTCTCTGCCTCCCGAGTCCCAGCTGATCGGCTGGGTCTTCTTTTGTTGCCCTGCCCAGGAGACTGGAGCTGGAAAGCAGGTTAGTGGAGTGGGGAGGGAATGGGGAATTTACAGTACCTTTCCCCTGGAGTGGGGTGGGAATGGAGATTTTACAGTATCCTTCCCATGCCATGCCCACCAAGCCATGCCCATGAAGCCACGCCCATAGAACCGGTAGTAACATTTTTTGAATCCCACCACTGGAGAAGTGGTTTGGAGGCTACCCATCCGCCATTACATTGGCAAATGTTTCTGGATCAGCCAGGTATTTGGTCTCTCTTGCAGCCCAAGCTAAAATGCCCATGGAAGGAAGTACCTATTGACAGAAGAGCACAGTACGTGCCCATAGCGTGCCATCAGGTGTTAATAAATGATCCTAGATTAGCAAAAACTGTGTCAGGAAAAGGAAAACAATTTATTTATTTATTTATTGCCTTTATTATTTCTATAAATAATGCAAAGGGGCTAACATATCCAATACACCTTCTTTCTCCTCTCCCTTCCCCCACAACAACAACCCTGTGGGTTGGGCTGAGAGAGCAACTAGCCCAAAGTCACCCAGCTGGCTTTCATGGCTAAGGTGGGACTTGAACTCATGGTCTCTGGCTTTTACAGCTTGGGGCCCAGTGGTAGGATTCATTTTTTTTTACTACTCACTCTGTGGGTGTGGTTTGGTGGGCGTGGCAGGGGAAGCATATTGCAAAATCCCCATTCCCACCTCACTCCAGGGGAAGGTTACTGTAAAATCCCCATTCTCTCTCCACCCCACTAACCTGCTTTCCAGCTCCGTTCTCCTGTGCAGGGCAGCAAAAAAAGACCCAGCCAATCATCTGGGATTCAGGAGGCAGAGAATAGATGAGGGCGGGACCAGTCAGAGGTGGCATTTGCCGGTTCTCTGAACTACTCAAAATTTCTGCTACCGGTTCTCCAGAACTGGTCAGAACCTGCTGAATACCACCTCTGTTGGGGCCTTAACTACTAAACCTAATTGGTTTTAAAACATAAACAGCTAAACAGTTTACGTTTCCTCCTCTGTATTGTATGAATGAGACAAAGATGATGTAAAAAGGGTTAGCAAGCCTTGTTCAGTTCGAGGGACACAAGAATCGCCTGCATGTGTTCTGACAATTGAAAAACTTCCTTTTAAATTAAACCTTCCATTTTGTTGGCACCTCACTCATGTTTATTGGTTTTTTTCTCCATTCTTTGCCTTTTTAGTAATATTATGATAGAGTATTAATTTTAATTTTTTCTTTTGTTTCTTTTAAGTATTTTAGCTACTATATTTTAAGAGCAGAAACTCAGTTGTGCATTTTGAATATATTAACAAAACCTTTCAAGGTCTTATTAAATTGTACTTATTTATTAATTAAAATTCTATACTGCCCATCTCACCTAAGTAACTGGACAGTTTACAACATCATAATAAAACCATATAAACACATGAATAAAAACAGAATTAAGAACAAGTACAACTTACAAGTAAAAATAACAATCAAAGTTAAAAATTCAGAAGGTTAAAAGCTCTCATCTCTCCTCAGAGGAGCGCAGTGCTGATTGCAAAAATCATATTTCAACATGTCTCATAGGTACAAGAATCTGACCATCTTGAAATCAGCTCTTGGGGTTTCTTCACACTTTTCTGTGATCAAGTACTAAAACTGGAGGTTGGAAATACAAAAAGATATGCTGAGATGTGATTCTAAGTAATTATGAGAGAAAAAAAAAGAATTATTCCCACAGGATTATCTCCATGCTGAAGATGGGTGCCCACTTCTCCATGGATCTGTATATATATAGATAATCATATGGCAAAAATGCACACTGTGTCTTAGTGAATCCTGTGCTGCAACTAGAATGTCAACCCTGCTGGGATTGAACCAGAAAGGTACTGGGTGCAGTTCTTCACTTGAGCTGATACAAGCCTATCAGGCTAGCATAGTGAAGAACAGCTGGCCCTTTGAAGAATGAATCAACCTTAGATGCCCACAGGGAACCACCTGACTCCTGAGAGCCAATAAAGGAAAAGAAAGATGGGTCAGTTGGGTGGGAAGAGATTTGGGTTGGGTGAGTTGGCTGGAGTCCTGGATGAGCAAGGCTGGAAGTTGAATTGTTTAGTTACATATAGGCTATATAAATTTGATTTAAAAATAAATCACAAATACTGTAGTTGGAATTGTATTCCAACTCCAAATCCTGAAGCACTGGGGAACTACCAGAGGACTGGAAAAGAGCTGATGTAGTTCCCATCTTCAAAAAAGGAAAAAACATGGATCCAGAAAATTACAAAGCTATCAGCCTGACATCAATACCTGGGAAGATTCAGGAAAAGATAATCAAGCAACAAATTTGTGAACACCTAGAATAGCATAAAGTCATAATCAAAAGCCAACATGGATTTGTCAAAAAAGATCATCCCAGACAAATCTTATTGCATTCTTTGACAAAGTGACAAAATTAGTGGACCAGAGAAATGCTGTGGATATAATTTACTTGGACTTCAGTAAGGCATTTGATAAAGTAGACCACAACCTGCTACTTTATAAGGTAGAAAAATGTGGGTTAAACAGCATCACCATCAGATGGAGTCGTAACTTGGCTGACCAACTGCACTCAGCGTGTAGTCCTCCATGGAACTTCATCCACTGTACATGGAAGGAAGTATGCAATGGGGTACCTCAAGGCTCTGTCTTAAGCCCAGTACTCTTCAATATCTTCATCAATGATGTAGATGAGGGGATAGAGGGGAAACAGGCTGGGTGAGGATTTCAGTCTTCTGGTTCCCTTGAGGGCTGGTGAGGAAGGAAGAAAATGGCTTATAACAGAGGGAGTATCAGACAGAGGGAGCATCAAGGAGAATTTTCTGATCACTGTTCCTCCCTTCTCCATCTTGGATTTGAAGGGTCTTTTCCCTCACTAATCCCCCCCCTTTCTCACACATATAGCCTAAAGTTCTTCACACAAAGCCTTAGCATTATTCTTTTTTATTTATCTTTCATAAAACTCAAACTGTGCATTAAATTTTGGATAGTAACCAACTTGGGATAAGGACATGACTTATGCAAAATGCCATGTATTTTGGTATTAAAGAAATAATAGCAATAATAAGGTCTTGTGTTCATTTTTATATATATTTTAGTTTGTATAATTTATATTAAAAAGTAATACTGAATGGAAATACTTTTTCCCAGAGATTTTCAAGTGACGGCAATAGCACTGAGCAAAGAGGCTGATGGAACAAAGTTTCCATTTTGATAAGGAGTTGGAATAGATATTGTTCAATGTTATGATTCTGTAATTAGAAAGCATATTATGATGAATCTGGGATAATCAGGAATCAGGTATGCTATTTTGAGCTCCTTGCTGGAAGGACAGCAGATAGTTGTTAACCTAATCCTACGTAGCTTTTTCTCTGGTAATATCATACTACTAACTAGAACATACAAAACATTTGCTAGACCAATACTTGAATACAGCTCATCAGTCTGGAACCCACATTATTATCTGATATTAACACAGTTGAGAAAGTCCAGAAATATTTCACAAGAAGAGTTCTCCACACCTCTACTCGTTGCAGAATACCTTATGCCACCAGACTTGAAATTCTAGACCTAGAAAACCTAGAACTACGCCACATTCGGTCCGATCTAAGTATAGTATATAAAATCATATATTGCAATGTCCTACCTGTCAATGAATACTTCAGCTTCAATCATAACAATACAAGAGCAAACAATAGATACAAACTCAAGGTTAACCACACCAAACTTGATTGCAGAAAATACGACTTCAGCAACAGAGTGGTCAATGTCTGGAATACTCTACCCGACTTTGTGGTTTCTTCCCCAAACCCCAAAAACTTTAACCTTAGACTGTCTACTATTGACCTCACTCCTTTCCTAAGAGGTCTGTAGGGGGTGTGCATAAGCGCACCAACGTGCCTACCGTCCCTGTCCTATTGTTTCTTTTTATTATCCATTTCATGTATTCATAACTGTGTTTGTACTTATACCTACTATCTTGTAAGTGATTGACAAATCAAATCAAATAAATAAATATACAGGGTGTCTTTGATGACATTATCTATATCTATATCTATATCTATATCTATATCTATATCTATATCTAGATCTATATCTAGATCTAGATCTAGATCTAGATCTATTTGTTTTCGTAGATTTTCACGGGTACAGGTATGTAGGTCTAGGTGTGTTTGAGTCTTTTCCCGTGTAAGATTAAGAGTACCTTGGCGATGTTTCGGCGAGGTCCCACTCGCCATCCTCAGGCTGGTGCTTTCGGCTTCGCCAGCACTTCCCACTCGGCAGAATCTCATCTGCCATCATCAGGCTTCTGTATTGTGTTTGTAAGACGAAATACAGAATACAGAAATACAGAAGCCTGATGATGGCAGATGAGATTCTGCCGAAACGTTGCTACAGCTTTAAAAGCACAACTTTTTTTTAAAAAAAAAACAACCCTCTGGAACTTGCTGAAAAGAATAATCTGCCATCAGGTTTAAGAAAAAGAGAGGGATTAGGATGTATCTTAAGGCATTATTTTTCCTGCAGGGCTAAAGAATGTTAAGCCCAGCCCTACCATACAGACAGTAGTCATAGCAGCACCTAACCTCCATTGACAGAATGGTGATGCACACAATCTGGGGTTGTCTAGAGTTCACAGTCAGGCTCTTCAGCTCCTTCGGGGTGTGTTTCAGGGAAGGTCAGTTTCTGGCACCGTGCAAGAGGGAGGGTTCGAAGCACACCTAAGCCCAGGAATACAATAAAAAAAAAGTTTTTCCACTCCCCTCTCACCCAAGCCAACTCGCTGAACAGATAAAAAGGAGGATTCTTGCCTTGCTGTCATAGGGGCTCAGTTGTATTCTGAACTGGGAACACCTTGCTTGAAAAAGTCACTGCCACCAGCCAGCTATCCCCTAATCACCATGTCTCGTCAGTCTTGTGGGATAAGCGTGTCAGGAGGGAACAAGGGATTCAGCTCCAGCTCAGCTTGCTTCTCAGGTGGACAAAGAATGAGCTTCAACAGCGTTTCCACAAACCGTGGATGTTCTGTCCGTAGTGGAGGGGGAGGTGCTGCTTTTGGCAGCAGAAGCCTATATAATCTTAATCAAGGGGGCAACAAGAGAATCTCCTATGGTGGAGTTGGCAGTGGCTTCGGTGGAGGTTTTGGTGGGGGTTGTGGCCAAGGGGGTGGAAGCTTTGGAGTTGGTGGTGGTTTTGGTGCCGGATTTGGAGCTGGAGGTGGCTTTGGTGGGGGCTTTCAAGCTTGCCCACCGGGAGGCATCAGGGAGGTGACTATCAACCAGCATCTCCTGCAGCCTCTCAATTTGGAGATAGATCCAGAGATCCAGAAAGTGAGGGTAGAAGAGAGAGAGCAGATCAAGACCCTTAACAACAAGTTTGCCTCCTTCATTGACAAGGTGAGATACTTGCAAAAATAATTTTCTTATTGTTCTATAAACCTTTCTTTACTTTCTTTAGCATAGTTTAAGATTATGGTACATGGAATTTATGAATTGCTTTAAAAACAGTAAATCTCAAGATATATGGAGTGAATTTAAAAGCTTGACAAACTTATGTTGTCACTAAATCTCAACTCCTTGTTTTATATAATATGTATACAGTACTTTGGGGAGAAATGATAAAATGTGGTTCTTGAGGGAATAATAGATAGGTTTGGTTTTTGTTTTTTTTTAGAAATGTAAAAGAATAAGGACAGAAATGAAGGAGAAAGAAAATATATTTGCTGGGCACATCTACTGTGATTAAATCTGGAACTGTCCTGGTTCATTCTCTAAAAGAATTCTGGGAACTGTAGTTTGGTGAAGTGCTAGGAATTCCCTAAGATTGCTCTAAGCCTAAAGGCAAAATAATACTACTGCATACCAGGCTGGAGAGAAATTTGACTGTCAGTCTACTTGAAATGTATGCTATTGATATGCTATTACTTTGCATTTCATGCTATTTTCTTATGCTGTCAGAATTAACATACAGTCAATAACATACCAGAAGAGAAAAGACAGGCCAATAAGAATCAGGAATTTTAGTTGTCCAGTAATCATTATGTCAAAGGGCAGAAAAGTAGATAGTAGGTCTATTGGGCTTCAGTTACAGGATGTTTACTAGATATAAATGTGACCCTTACCTAGGCTGCAAATCACTAACTATGTTCATTAACTGTTCATTCACAGTAATGATAGCACACGTGGTTGTTCTCTCCAATGATTTTTATTTGCAATCTCAGTACTCTTATCTCTCAGCCAACTGCAAGGATTCTATGGAAGAATAGGAAGTAAGATCTGTAATTCTAAATATGAGGGGTGACCCCGACTGTGAGCCATGTAGGGGAAAATACAGACAAAAAATAAAACACCCAAAATGGTTTGAGGAGAGAACAGAAATTAGTGCTAGTAGATGCAATGATTATGCTTTTGTTGTAGATCTGGATTAGCAATCATTGTGAGTGTTCTATGGAAGACGTAGTGCTCCTGGTTCCTGTGGTTTGACTTATTTGGAGGTTTAGTGGTATGAAAACTTATTTTAGATATGTGGTTGTTCTCATCATCAGACAGGCAACTCCAGGAAAAGAGAAAACCTCACTAGTATAAAAAAAGAAATACATATTTTTCCTGTTGCAGAAAGTATTTTAAGGCCATGGTTGCCGATAACAGGTGGCATGATTTTAAATTACTTTTGGTATGATGATTGCTCTGTTGTGCCCAATGCTTTAGCTACTTTGTCCATAAGTCTTGATATTAATTTTTATCATTAACAGAAATGATATGAGAACTTGCTGAGATGGGTACTGATAGTACTGATATGTACATGTAACACACAGTCCTGCAGATCATTAATTGACTTTCCACATGTTATTTAATTCAAAAGGCAAGAAGAAAAATCTTAGATTATAAACTCTAAGTATGCAAAGTACTTTTACATTAGTTATGGCATTGCTTATCTGCAATAAAATGTTTAATCTTACCAAGCTGTATGTGGGAATCTTCTATAGAGCCTAGTCAAGAAGTACTGCCCCAAGGATTGCATTGAGGTGAATGAGGCTCAGCTGTGAACATGTATGCAAATTTTGCAGTTGAGAATTTGCTGGTATTGGAGGCAGATATTGGTAGATTTGTTGTAGTGGAGTACAGTAAGTTAGTATATTTCTTCAAAGATTTCACTGATGTAAAATGAGACAAGTCTATCACATTCCATACCTAAGACTTGTGACTAATGTAGTCTCATTATTCTTTGTTTTAATATTGGCAATAGCTCAAAATATGTATTTGCAGCAGCAATAAATAAAGTAACACATTGTTCTGTGTGGAGTGTCTTCACTATGATGAGAAATCCATCCAGAATTCTAACGTTTTCCATTGGATTGAGCAATGTTTATCCATCTGATTTAAAATTCTGCTCAGTGCTACCTGGGTGCCAATCACTAGCCGACAAGATTAGAGGCCATTAGTCAATAAAAGGTCCATGTTCTAGACTAGAGAGACAATGAAGAGGATTGAATTCTGACAGTAATACTAAGAATTTGTAGGAAGAATATTTCTAAACAGTCCACTCTGAATCACTGTAGAAGGTAAAAGGATAAAATAATATCTTAGGATCAAATGCTTTAAAATACAGAGATGTCCCTGTTACATACAACCTATTCAAATATGAATATTTTTGCTTTTCTGCTCTCTGCTCCATTCTCTTTTTAGGTTCGTTTTCTAGAGCAACAAAATAAAGTATTGGAGACCAAGTGGAAACTCTTGCAAGAACAGGGCCATGGCACTGGTGGTCAAAAAAATCTGGACCAATTCTTTGAGGCTTATATCAACAACTTAAGGAGGCAGCTGGATGGTCTTCTGAATGAGAGGCGAGGACTTGACTCAGAACTGAAAAACTTCCAAGATCTTGTGGAGGATTTCAAAAACAAGTAAGAGAAGATTAATCCAAATTAATAGTTCTTGATATTCTTTCATATACATTCATGAAAATTGGGCTTCGTTAGATAAATGTCCAGTACTTCTTCTGTCTCATGAAAAAGATGAAACAATATACTCATGACATTTTAAGGGGATGTGTTTTCATTACAAGAAGATTAATTTCCCTAAAAATGAGAATCATTTTTTCCTCATTATTTTCAATGAACCTGCTTAATTATCTACCACATGTATTGGAAATACATGCATGTAAATAGAAAAACATATCTTAGCTCAACTCTCTCCTTCCTTTCATCCTTCCTGATATCTATATCT